CCAAATACTAATCTAATTGTTAGGAAGAAAAATATAAGAGGCTAATTGAATGTTTCTGATTTATTTTCATGTTTTCAACAAGAATACACACATCCCCTACGCAATCAGTTAATAATTTCGTACGAGCAAAATTTTTATCTAAATAAAAATTTCGAATAATGAATAAAGGATCGAAAAATTTGATTTGTTATTCGATGTTCGAATAAAAAAAGTATCATTTTTCGACGAGCGTCGAATGAATAAATTTATTCGATAAGAATTATCCGACGAATACAAGATACTTTTTTTTCTTCTTTTATCTGCTCCGTGTAATTCGAGTAGTTCGAATATTTACTAGTAACTCGAAAGTAAGAGATCTGTTCGAATATATTCGAGTAATTCGAGCATTTTCGGGCTGAAAATTCATTTTCAAGAGAGCTCGCTAAATTCGAGTCGTTTGAGTTTCTCATGTAGCTCGCATTTTTGTCAAACAGTTCGTTGATTTCAAGTAGCTCGGAAAATTCAAACTATCGACTCGACTCGAGTAATCGAACCGAGTTCGGCTCAGCTTGTAAATTACGACTACTCGCACACCCCTAGTTTTTAAGCGAATGTGTGTCTTCGAGTGTTTGTGAACGAATAAATCTTCGAGTTTTGTGGGGCGTCCCGCTTTTTCGAGGTTCGCTGATGGCGTTACCAAATTTTGTCTCCTAATTGGTTGTGCCCTGAAGGGGATAGAATATTTTTGGATTTTCCTGAGTGATGTGGAGGTGGAAAACCTTTCCTTCAGGGCGAAGCGGACGCCAGAAGAATGTCGCGCACATGGTCACGATGCGATATGACCGCGACGAATTTTAGAGTCTCCCAACAGTTATGGCAGTATTGTCTGCAAGTCAACGCGCCTCAGTAAGGCCCAGCGCGGATGGGTCCCAGGTTTGTCGTGCCCACGTGGCGGACTGCAGACCGAATGTTCGGATTTTTTGTTTATTGTTCGTTTATGTCAACCAGAATCGAAAAAGTCAGAATCGCAAAGATGTGGAAAAAGTCTAAAATTGAAGGTGCTATACGACACAGGAAGTAAGATAATAAAAGTTAACGATATCCTCTGATTTTATAGTCGTCATTCCCGGTCTACGTTCCATCTGTTTTCCATCCCTTTTCCATCTATCCAATGCATATCCCTAGTCTTATTATATTCTAAACCCCACGATCAGAGAAGCAACAGTCGAATACTGTATACGATGGCAACGTCCGTAGGTTTACAAGCTGAAGTTAAGCGAGCTTGTTAGGACGGCTGAATGAGTTCGAAGGTTTTCACGGCTAAAGAAGGATAGGAAGGAAGGGAGATACAGAAAGGAAGCAGGGGTTTCCAGTCAGGACATGAGGGACAGTTCACCGGCTTTACCCGCCGGCGGTCCCTAGAGGTGGCAGTCCCGTTGCAAGCTGAACCTAGTCTGTGGTTGCTGGCTTGTTAGATCCAGTTTGGGGTTGGTACGGTCTGAAGAGGGGGGTTGCCCAGTGGAGGGCGCCACTCTTCAGTAGACCGCAATCGGGTATGCAATTTACGTGGTGTCCGACCTCTGCGACCTCTTCCTCATCCCCTTATTCTGGCTGGCATACACACGTCCCGACCTCGGTATCCCCTCCCTACCTCCAAGCTTTTTCTCCGGCCTCATTTCTCGATATCCCCCTCCCACTCCCTACACCGCGCATTTCTCCAGGATACGCACTCGTGTGCAAAACGAAAGATCCAGGTATGAGGTTGTTCCTCCGCGTTCAATAGGCAACAGTGGGAGACGTCGGGTGTGTGTGCGACGAGTAGTCTTCGCGTAGGCAGCTGAATATTGCGGGTTCGAGGGACGATTGGTCCAGGAGTGAGAGGGCTTACGGATATGGCGTTGGAACGAAAGCCGATGGCTGTCGCGTGCAGAAGCTCGAACGGCAGTTACGGGTAGGACTGGTTTCTTCCAACGAGGACACCGTAAGATTTCTCCCTGGCCGAGGGTCTACGTTCTCCGGTAATGACGCTCAGGAAATTGGAAGTAGCGAAGGATTGAAATTGCTGGAGCATACGAACTAATAACTTGTCGGCGAGAAGGACGGGGGCTAATGTGCAGCATTTCCTATCGCGATCGTGAATCGCTCTGTTAACGCGGCACCCTTCTACAGAATTTCGATTTTTCGTTTGTCCGAATGTGTTGGTAAGGCATGTAAACTCGTGATAAGATTTAGAATGGTAGTTTCAAGGTAATATACAGGGTGTTCATCGTAACGGTTGCCACAATTTATCGGACACTTCTGATAATCTGACAAGGAAGTTTTATAAAGAAAAGTTAGTTAATACTCAATCGGCAACATATTGCAACAATGAAAATTCCCAAAAAACATTTTCTTTAATAAAATATCAAGGTCACCTTCAGTTTTTTAAACGACGCCATATAATCTTTTCTATTCGGTATTGTAGGTGCAATCGGGACAAATTCATCCGTATCATACTAAGGTGTTTTTTTATTTAATAATTTGATTCAAGAAATCTTTATAATAAGATTCGTTCTTTGATCAAACAGTGAATATTCAAACTATCCTTACATTTGAAACATTCTTTTTTAAGGATACAACGCATTACAATAGCATTTACTGTCATTAGAACATCTGGTAAGAAATGTTCGCTAAATGAAAAATAATTATGAAATTACTTCATTTAATTAAACATTAAACTTGAATAATTTTGAAAAGTAACGAAATGGCAGTATTATAAAGTAACAAATTTGTTACATTGAAAAATATGGATTCTCAAAAATTCGACAAATTAAAATATCGAAAAAATCGTATGCTACATTGCAGATACTTTTATACGGAATATTCTGTCCAAATTTGAAGTCAATCGAATTAACAGTTTCGAAAATCTGCTGGGTGTCAATTAACAAGGTCCTGTCAGTTGTGACGGTAGAAAATGTTCTATACCTCTGCCATTTTAAAGTTTGAAATAATAATTACGATATGAAAATACAGTCGTAACGTTACCTAATATCCTCTAAAATGATCCCCATATTTCATTCTATAATCACCTCAGAAAAATATCAAAATTTGTTTAGCGTGCAAATACATTTTTTTATAGTTTTTTCTTTGCAGCGGCAGAACTCAAGACGGATAGTAAGAATACAGTTTTCGAATAATAAAACAGAAAGTTACAAGTAACTCTAAGCACCATGTATTATAGAGGTCTCAGGTTGTTCGACACGTTCTAATGCAAATGTCAGGTTGAGCGTTCCGACCTCGCGTAATGCGCATGTTAATCGGCCGTGGCTACGTCGAGCAACGGTACCAACGGCATAATTCGCTCAATTTACAAGCCTTATCGCAATCGTTGCATTTAATCGCCAGGAATTAGGTTGTATCGTCCACATGATGATGCCGACTTAGCAGATCAATGCTGCCTGAAAATTCTTCTGTGACCCAAATTTTTTTCCTATCGAACACTAGAATGTTCATTTTTGAGCGAAGACTTAAAAAAAAAGAAACCTTTAGTATAGAAATATATAACACATAATAACGTGAAAAGTTTGATAAAGGTTGGTGAAATTTTAATACCATTTTTGATTCAATAGACCTCGACAGAAACATCAAGTATCTGTTTAATTTCGGTGATACGAAATTTTGTTTGAACAGGTATGTAATTACATAAATATTTACACTCTAATGACGAATATAATATACATAACAATCACGACTGACAACAATTATTGCTAACAGGATTTTTAAAACAATACTACCTCTGGCAAAAAGTATTTGTGTATTGGATGTACATAAAATAAATATGTTTTGGAATAAAGTAGTCAGCTATATTTAAATAAAGTATGAATTTAAAAATAAATTTTTTTGTTTATTTAGGAAGCACGAAAAGAAACCTTAACCATAATTTTCAAGCGCTAAGGAATATTTCCAACAAGTGCTATTTTAAATTCTTGTTCCTAGAAGGTTAAAAAAGTTTGTATATTTTTTAATAATACACAGTGCTTTCCAATTTTTATGTTGCAATAAATATTATGTTATTCTACAATATATTGTATATATATATTTGTTTCATTTAAATATCACCCTTACTCACTAATATCTATAATACGTATTACACAGGAATTTTTCCTTATCCAGTCCTTTTCATTTTGTATATATGTATACGTAATTCCTGTTGTACATTTACTGAGCTACAATTTTCTCTTATATACATAACCATTGCGAATGTGTGAGATTGAATCAATACGTAATCAGCTATTTGGTTCAAAACATTGCTGATTCGAAGGAAATTAGGATCTCTGCTATTTTAGCATTACTCCTTATTCTTTTTTATTATTCTATAGCATTTTTATTGACCGAAGTGTAGGAAACATTTTTAATATAATACATACTACAATTTTATTCAGAAATACTGGATTATTGACTGGTACAGCTAATACAATGAATGCGAGTAATCTGAACTAAGTAACAATTTATACAGTAATCTGAATTTAACTGATAAATTGCAATCTTTCTCAAGTGAAACGCGTTTTAGTATAATTTCATTGTGTACTAGATTCCTAGTTATATTCACGATGGTCGTTGAATAGTGACAAAGAGAATGACAGTCGTTTTCCATCCACTGCTGTTTCGACGTTAAAACTGACATTCTATGGCGTCTCGAATAAACTAATCAATCGCAGATTCAATAAAGAAATAGAAGAAATTGGTAAACGATAGTTGCTTACTACAATCGGTAACTGTTTGATCAAGAAACACCACGGTTCTGTAAATCTTTTTAAACTCCGATGACTTCGTTTTACATTAAAAATAATTGTATCGTGTATTAAGTATATAAGAAGGAAAAGCAAGGATAGAGCTCGATTCATCGGATTTTCAAAGTTTTTGTGAGAATGTCTGAAGCACTCGGCTAACTTGAAATCTTCTTAGACGAAACGGGGTGAAGTTAAGGAACAGAGGAAATCCAATTTCAGTTCTGTGGTGTGTAATAACCAAGGAATGTCAAAATGGGGAAAATGCAGGTAAGATTATAATAATAAAGGTATTCATGAATTTCTTTAAAAGTCTGGTTATTCAAATTCTTATTGTACTATTAAAAGATGCGGGCTGTAAACGCAGAATAGTAGTGCATTCTTTATTTGTTAAATATGGCAAGCCTTTTACCACATCTAAGTACGTAGTATTTGATTGGGCTAAATACACCTATGAGAAGAAATTGTAGGATGAATTTCAGGAATTCTTTTTCGGTGAAAATTTGTTTTATTAAAAAAAAACAGTACATTGGAAAGAGTATTCTTTGGGTTAGAAAGTATCAATTCTTCATTAAAAAATTCGAAGAAGAAACGGCGTTGTATTTGTTTCTGTACGACAATTTTCAAAAAAGGCGTCAGTCGTAATCATCATATTTTCGTTGTTTTTTATCAGAAACAAAAAAGGAAAAATTATTCTAAAAGTACACAACAAAATTTTCCTAGAGAATTTATGTTTTATTCAGTTTCTCGCAAAATGGCGGACATTTGAACATCGATTTTATGACTGAAAATGTGAACTACTTTCAATTATAAATTACTTAGAAATAATCTACGATTTATACAAAAAATCCTGTAAGAAAAACTAGATAATTATACCAAGACTCATTGTGCCAAATTTCAAGTGAATGGGTCCATTATTTTTTTTAGATATAGTGGTTACTGCTTTTAGATATAGCACTTTAGACAGAGAATTTTAGACACAGAATTTTAGATAAATATGCTTGCAATGGTGTAAGTCTATCTTTAAAACGTGGTAATACAAGGCTTAATAAAGATTCTATCTATTTCGTTCGAAATACATATGCTGATAGCACTGTTGAATACGAATTCCAAACTGCAATATCCACTGGGTGATACTTGTAGACTTTGATATCCCAAATTCGGAAGCAGAATTGATCGACGAAGCGAGCAATGGCGGAATGGCGGAAAAATATCGTGCGCACTGCATACATTGCCGACGGACATCCTATCGATTTGTCCGAATTAAAAACCGTTTCGACATTTTTCTGGATGGTTCCTTTTTCAGAAATGTCTACAGTATGGAACTTATTAGCATTTTTAGTTTTCATGTAATACGCGATTATTTTTGCCCAAAGTCGCGCGTTTTTACAAAAATTTATGTTCTTCCAAAACTGAGGGTGATTGGGCAATTCAGCTTCTGAATTTGTGTTTGGGACGAGACAGTCAGCAAAGACTGCACAATGGAAATTTCAAATCAGAAAAAGGTTTTAATTTGTTGGACACTGTAGTCAGTCAATATAAAATAAATACATTTTTTAAATATTAACTTTCGTAAAACAAACCAATCATGTTTTCATATTGAATCTGATATTTTAGCATATTGTTGCCTACATAACCGGTGGTGCTAACGGTATAGGAAAAGCTGTCGCCGAGAAAATCCTGTGTCAAGGTGGTAAAGTGGTACTAGTCGACATATCCTGTAATGGAATTAAAGTTGCGGAGAAAATGGGCGAAAAAGCTTTATTTTCTTGTACTGACGTAAGTTAAACTCCTTATAAAACCGAACCCGATCATAGTGCCTACCCCATTAGTAGTGATTAAACTCTATTATAAATCAGCATTACGGTGAAAAATATTTTTCAATGCTGTAGAAATGTTCACGAGCAGGCGATTACATTTCGTCGTATCTAGTTTTACGTTATGCTCTGCATTGTCTGAAATGTTTAAAAATTATGGAAACTCGAACTTAAAACGAAGCATAGAAAATTCTTGAGAAATATTTCAGGATGTACCTAATCCTTCCTTATACTGTACTAGGACAAAAACATATTATATATGCACTACCAGTTTCTCGTGAGTATAAATGTGCATATTTATAGACATTACAACGCTATTCTTTTGCAATATAACCTTATTTTGATTTCGAGGTAGTAGTTTTAAAGGCAACGTTATTTTTTTTTTAAATGAACTTATTAGAATCTTTATAATAGGCCAGTTTATGTTGTAAAATAATAGGAAACATAGTTAAAAATTAGAGTAGGTACTTATTATATATTTCACAGATACGGAAACAAGTATACAGGGTGTATACAGGGCACTTAACTTATAAGCATACGCTAGTTGTAATTCAGCTGGACTAACAAGTGAAGCCACTCAGATGTTAAATTAGGTTTGATAAAATATTGTTTGGAAATTTTAGAACTCGATATGCTAAAGACAGAAATAAGTGTCACTCCCACGGAGAACGCAGTATTGACCAGAAAAATGACTTCAATAAACAGCTCTAAAAATAAATATAAATAAATTACTATTCATTATTTTGTCACGTTTTAGGTTTTTTTGGGGGGGGTACATGTAAATAAAATAACCGAAAAAGATACAAAAGCACCAACATGGGGTCCGAGTCCATATTCCGAGCTTAAATAACGCGCTGGTCCAGTTCACCAATGAGGTGGCGCAGAAGATCCTAAAACGTTGCCCGATCAGCTATGTGGACACTGTGGTCGAAGTGAACAAAAATCTCATTGTTTTTCGTTTCTTTTTCAGTTATTCTATTTACGGTAAACGCATCAATGAATGGACACTTAAGAGATTTTGTAACTATTAAAGTCCAATTTAACTGATGATAAAAAAAGTAATAAATATTTGGCAAATAAGAATCAGATTTTTTAATATCTATAATTTCTTATAATGTATAGCTTTTTATTTGAAAAATTTGAAAAATGTAATTGATTAAATTAAAACGAAAGAATACAGATTTTACCAGTGAATGAACATTTGTAGCTAGTGCCGCGAAAATTGTTTGAATATGAAACAAGGAATTGAAAAAGTTGCTTATCTTAATAACTTAATTTACTTGTTTTTATATACCTATAGTGTTCATTTATTGTTACATCCACCCTGCATATATCTAAAGAAACCTAAAAAGTTAAAGAAATTATAAAAAGGAAGCTATAGGTATATACATCCAATTTCAGAATTGTTTATGACGGACTTCGACGCCATTTTTCTGACCTATACTGAATTCTCCGGAAGAGTGACACTTATTTCAATTTCTACGAAGTCGAGTCCTGTAATTTCCAACCATTATGCCTTCAAAACTAATTTAACATCTGAGCAATTATATAACCTTGTAAAGTTATAGTTAACTATAATTACATAATCAGGAATATCACTTTCTAGGTACGAGAAGAAAAGGATATATTAGAAAGTATGAAATGCGTTAAAGAAAAATTCGGCGGTATAAACGTACTCGTGAATTCGGCGGGAATAGCTGCTAGCAAAAGTATATACAACTTCAAGAAGAAAAAGCCTCATTCGGTCGACTTGTACAGGTGCCTGTTCGACACGAACGTGTGGGGCACGTTTAATGTGACCCGTTTATTGGTCGGAATGATGGCAGAAAACAAACCGGACGCGCATCAGCAGAGGGGAGTCATTATCAATATGGCGAGTAAAATGGCATATGATACACCGCCGGAATTTGTCGCTTACGGTGGTACAAAAGCCGCGGTTGCGGGCATGACGGTGCCGCTTGCGAGAGGGCTTGCCCAAAAAGGAATAAGAGTTGTTGGTGTATGTCCTGGTTTCATAGACACCCCCATGACATGTAAGTCGACGATTTTTGCAGCACTGCTCAAAACGATTAGGGGATCACTATACAGGGTGTCAATAAAAATGCGGGACACTTTCATTCGAGTTATGCTATGTAGGAACGATTTGTTTCGGTTGACACTCTACTCAGGGGGTTGAAATCATAGAATTTAAGTTTGTCAAATTTTTCGTTTTTTCAGTATATCTTGTTAACCGTAATAGATAGGGAAAAACTTTTAATGGGAAAAGTGAATGATATTAAAAGACCTATCAATCTGCAAAAGCAAAGAAGATATGTGTACAAAAGGAAAGAGAAGTAGGAAATAGAAAATGTTTCGTTAGAAATTTAAAGGGATTCGTGTGATACATCACATGGTGCATGTGTCTTCCCCAAATGTGGAGGCGTTTAAAAGATTTCAAGATTATCTTTCTTTTTTAAACGGAAATATACATTTTTTGATACACCGTATAAAGCATTTTTTAATTTTTGTACACAAAAGTACCAAGGTACTTGGGTAAAAAAGTGATCAGTTTAAAAGAGTAACATTAGGTAAGTTTGTAAACATGTGCGAAGACATAGAGAAGCAAAATGTAGACTGAGGTTAAAATATCTTTTAAACTAATCATTTTTGAACACAAACACCTTAGTACCTTTTTGTAGAAAATTAAAAAATACATCGAATGGTGTATACAAACATTATAGTTTCATCTAGAAAAATAGAGGTAAACTTGAAATCCTGAACTTGAAACAAGCCAATATTACCACTATTATAAAAATGATACCTGTAACCAACCAAAACTAGCATAAAGTGTTGTATTATGTCCACAACACAGAATATGTCAATAATTTGTTGCATAAACATTACATGATTAGGACATATTTTACTTTATTACTAACAGTTAATTATATTAGTTAATTAATTAATTAAATTAGAATTTATTATTATTAATTAAAATAGAATAACAGTAAATTAATTCTAAATTAAATTAGAATTAAATGGTCTCATATATAGTTCATTGAATTTTAATTTCTGTACAAATGATTTAATTCATATTACCAATCGTATAGGCAAAGAATTTTAATTGCATTCAAATATTTTTTTGTCATTCAGCCACACAGACACCGGAGCAGAAGAAACGCTACATCAGCATGAAACTAACTCCAAGACGTTATGGATGTCCTGAAGAAGTAGCTCATCTGATTCAAGCGTGTATTGAAAATCCGTTAATCAATGCTGAGAACATCTGTATCGATATGGGTTTCGCATACAATCAAACAGACGACGGACAGAAAGATAATTCAAAGTGTTCGTAAACATTATTTTCGATGAGAAAGAGACATAATTTTACTTTATACACTTCTTATTGTGTGCAGCTTACATACATCAAGTTTTTGCGCATTGAAAAGTGAGTTTACTCACAATAATTACAATAATAAACTATACGATGAATGTCTGTAACAAACGGAATAAGTTGTGTAATATTAGGAAATATTTTCTATTCCACATTAATATATCACAGATTATTAAGTTACTCGGATTCTGATGTATTGTATTCTTTTACTACTCAAATGATATTAGTACGCACATAGATATGAGGACACCTATGGAGTATGCAATAAATGTTACAAGACATTACGAAATTGTTGAAAGACTGAAATAAATATTGTTTAGAGTCCTAATACTTGTAAGCGGTAGTGTATATATGAATTCACAGTTTCACAGATAAAAATACAAATCTGTACATCACAAGTATATGCAAACATTGTTATATGTTAAAGTTTCAAACGTCACAGTTGTTTCTAAACTTTAATGTATGCAGAAGTAACCAATTAACTATCAGATGACGGAAGTTTAATGGTACTCAAATCCAAGGTGTACATATTATACATACATAATTTAGATGAGCCTCCAAACTTGATTTTGTCCGATTCTAGGATTTATACAAAGACCATTCATTTAACATTATCGATTGTTTTTTCACACACATTGAATCATATCCTTGCTTGCATAGTAAGTTCTTGGATAAAATCTGCAGTGCAAATATTTCTTCCGAACGAATAGCCTCTTATATGGTTAAATTTAAGTTATATAATAGAGTTCGCATAGAACGTTATTTTTGTTCTCAATCTTATTTCTTCATGTGTTAATAGTCACAAGTAAAGAATTTCATGTATCCATATGTACATTTAGAGAATGGTTCATGAAAAAGGCAAAAACAGTAGTGTTTTAATATTTATTAAGTGGACCTTCTCAGGGCTTTTCAAGGTTATTGCAAGGTCAAATGAATGTCAGCATGATCTATCTCCCTAGATATTTTACAACTTTTTTTTTTAAACATTTTCCCGCATCTTTGGTATTTTCGAGATATTTTCCAGGAGATATAAAAATGCCTTTGAAAAGTTTTCGATTACTAACGAGAGACTGTATATACATATAGATGCGCTTTCACACGTCCATTAAATACATATGAAAGGCGATTACAATTCCATACGCAGAATCGGTCATGTTGATAAACATTGTCACATAATCTCCGCGGTCTTACGGAAATCTTCGGTGGTATTGAATCTCCAACTTAATTTTACGCACATACCATTTTCAAGAAACAAAGTGAAATTATTCGTTAATTATTAGGTTTACGGCTAATAAAGGTCAGTACTTTTGTACTAAAAATTTAACGCTCTTCGACATTTTGGCATAAAAAAATAGCATTCCATTTAAAAAGTTCACCTTCAAATCTGCGAAACGCCTCCACTTACAAAAAAAATATATGCATTACATAATGTATCCCTCCAAACTATACAACTGTTCTATAAAAAATTTTTTCATACAATACATACTTTAGAAGTTATTCAGGATGAACAAGTTACGTGGACCACCCTATATATATGCCGGTAATTATTAAAGTGGTGTAATCATAAAATCAGATAAAAACTCAATTTTTTTGTTTTTTTTACTTACACCAGCACATATGTCGCAAAGTTTGTCAGAAACATTTTTACACAGTTTGCGTAACGATAAATATGATAGCGGATATAACCGTCACGAGATGCGATCAGCCAGCGGATTCTCGAGCACGTCCTGAAGACGTCGTCATCAGTGAGGACGTGCAACCGCACTGCCACCTACTTTCTCCCGGATGAAATTTATGTATGGAAATATCCGCGTGAGCATTACGCATGTAGAATATCACGACCAGCAGCTGGAGGCCCTCCCGTGACGACACTTCCTAGGAAAATGTATTTTAACGCTCACGATGGAGGCGGCAAGGTGGAAATATGCGCTCGAGCGACCCTTTCCTTTCCCGCACCATTCGTTTTCTCCTGGTCGCCTCCTTCCGCGAAACCTCTTGCCGTACACCCGGCAGCTTCGGAGTCTCCATCGACAACCCTACAGGCATCGACGCCCGCGAGAACTACATAGTCGAGAGTTTCTTTCATATTTCTACGTGTAGATTTGCGGCACAGAAGCCGCCGCATCCCCGCGTACCGGTATATCCTCATGTTTTATGCACGCACGATGACAATTTTACGATGGGGGAACAGATTGTTGATGGCGGCCCAGCAGTGAATTGGTCAGTTCGGTTTCTCCTTGTTGAACAAGTGCTTGATTGTGTAAATTAGTTTATTTTTGTTTCTCTTCAAGGTGATTTTAAGTGATTTTTGCAAATATTTCTGATGGTGACCCTGTAAAAATGGATGGAATGTTCGTAACTGATGAGTATTCAGTGTATTAAGGGATCATGCTCAGTCAGAAATTTTCAAAAAATCGATTTTTCACTTTCTACATTTTCTTTAAGTACAACAACTCGAGAATATTCTGTGCAAGTTTCAAGATAATCCAATTAAAAATGACAGAGTTACAGGCGTTAAAAAATGAACATTTTATATAAGTGTAAGCTTGACTTGAAACTTTAAACGCGTTTTTCTCGAAACTACATTTTTCAAATCAGTGATCAATGTTTCTCGAAAACTACTGTGTCGATTTACATGAAGCCATTTGCACGTTATTTCAAATCAGAAAAACTTGTCCTTGAACGAAGGATTCTTTTGTTCGTTCCATATTTTTTTTTTAATTTACCAAAAACGAGTGATTTTTTAGGTGAAAATCGCACTTTTTCAGGAAAACGTCCGCTATTTTGTTCCTAATCAATATTTCGAAAAATTCCACGTTCAAAGACAAGATTGGTTCTTCCATTACATAAATCTTGCTGAATTTTTAATTTCAGATGAACCGTTACGAAGTTACAGTGATCACGGCAAACCACTATTTGTGAAGAGATATCCGGGAAATCGCGCACCATTTATTTGCTAATAAATATTTTTAAATAAAAAAATTACCTTATAATCTAGAAATTGCAATCTTTGAAACACAAACACATTTTTTGAAAAACATCTATAATAGATTTTGAGAAAAAAATTCCCAAATAACACTTTTTTCAGTCTCCTGACTGAGCATGACCCCTTAACCCTCCCTGAGTCACACGTCATGCGCGCGCGAGAGCGTTACGCACCCAGTGATACAGCTGTACACGTAATTCTGGAACTGATAGACGTGTGGCATTGTATGAAAACAGCCGGCCTAATACGCCGCAGAAATATTGACTTACGTCTTTGGCTTACACTATTTCCTCTTTTACTGGCTGTCCTTTCTTCTAGTCGACAAAACTTCTACAGTGCCGGTAAGGGCCTCGAGCTCGAGCATCCGTGACTTTGTGTTAGTAACTTATCGATGTGAGTCAGAAATGATCCGGCTTCGGACGCCCTACGAATCCAGTAGTCGGATAGTTAAGGAAAGCATCTAATATACACATAAGGTAACTGTATCTGATATCGCTTTGCAGGTAATATTGACACTCGTAATATCTGGTGAATAAAGTGCCAAAATCAGATAGTGATGAATTAAACTAATGGCTATGTATATGTATATAGGAAGATATACCAAGATTGCAACGTCATATCAGCAATGTCTAGATGTATTTCACTGAATCTTGATAGTGCAATACTTTACTGAATCGTGATAATTCAGTAAAGTTCTGCACTAACCACATACATTATCGTCCATTTGGGGCCTAACATTGAGGGAAAACAAATTTAAAAATTCTGTGATGCATGAATATTTACTGGAAATATTTCAAATCTAAGTAATGTCATGCTAATGGAATGTAATCGGCTCCAACATTTTTCTTAAGGAAAACAGTTTTCTGAGTGAGCTTTTTCAGTTGTGATCATTACAGAGAAGAGTGGTTTCAGTGTAGTATTTTCTGCAAATGGGGATATGAAATTTACAGAACCTCATAGCTGAATTTCGTCTGCCGAGCATGTAAACGTAGTTATCTCGGAAAATAATATGTAGCAATATAAATATATTCATATTTTATTTCTTTATTTTCATAATAAAGACATTTTTGAAGACAATCTATGTAAAATAGTATATAAAAAGCCTTCAAAATGTTTGTATCGTTAAAAAGAATAAAAACATGTATAGTATATGAATTAATCACTTTTTCTCAAGTACACGATGTTTTGTGTGCTTTTTCATAATCCTGATTTTTGCTTGCCTCACTTTTTTTCAATCCGTTCGAAAATCTTTACATTTTAACAGATTTAAACTACTGTGCACGAAACACACACCATTTTCTTCTCATTTGAGACAAAGTAGGTACAAAATATCAGTTACCCACCAATTGAAGACAATTTCAATTCGGATAGATCAAATTAGGTGCACTTATCTTACATTTTAGGTAAACGGATTTAAGAAGATACTACCGTCTATCACAGGAACTTGGCCAACACAACATTCAACATCTGTTAAGCAATCTTTCAAGAGGATTGGGTCGTACACTTAAGCAGTCAAACATTTAATGAATAGCTTAGATAATTATGAAAACATTTTTAAATAAACATTGAAACATTCTCAAACATGTTACAACCAGATATGGAAAAACAACCGTTTATGTGACAGCGGTTCGAAACCGGTACTAGAACCAGTTCTACTTTATGACTGGCTTCACGGTTCCGGTACCAAAACCGGTTCTACTTTATGACTGGCTCTACAGTGTCGGTACTAGAACCGGTTCAACTTTATGAGTGGCTTTACGATTCCGGTCCTACAACCGGTTCCACTTCATGTCCGGCTGTATGGTTCTGGCACGAGAACCGGTTCCACTGTACGAGTAACGGTCATATAATAGAGAAGCGGAACCCTTAATTCGGAACCGGTTTTTTCGTAGGAAGTAGTTCTTTACACGTTCAGTGGCTGAAGCGACAACACAACGTCAGTGCAAACATGTGCGTGCGCGTGCGTGTGTGCGTGCATTTGACGTATGTCATATTTTTCGAGAGTACTCCGTATTCTGTAGCTAGAATCTAGAATATTCACGACGCAGCTGGCGTAATTAACAAAAGATATTCAAGAATGAATATGTGTATGCGTGGATGAGATGCACGTGGCACATGGCAAGGGGCTCTGGAAAATCCTGGAAGGTTCCAAATCCGGAGTCCTGATGTAGCGTGCCATGTGCAAGAACAATTGATAAACAAAATCGATCGAGATAATCGTCATCAAGAGCCTGACATTCGTTGTGCATCGTTCATTGAGACAAGTCGCAGTTTATTGTTTATAGAGTTCATTTTAAAATATATATTCCAGATATTTAAAATCGTAATCAACTACCCAAAAGAACACTGTATATGCCGTTTCGTGCAAATTGAATGAAAAATCTTCAATTTAGCCCAAAGTAGTTGTTATATTGTATCCGCCATTTTGAATTTTGTACTTTTGACCTCAAAATCGCAATGAGCAATCCCAAAAACCTATGAATGACCTATGATTTTAATGTTTCATTCAGCAGAAAGGGGTGGTTGGTGGGTGGGGACCACCGTTTTCCTAGGTTGTCGAAGTATATTTATGCCAAATTTGGTGCGGATACGTTGAGCGATATAGAAGCTTTTACCTAACAGACATATATGTATAGACACATATTTCAGCTTTAACTTTTGTATACATATGTAGATAAATCGATTCGGTCAAATTACTGAGTCAGTCCAAAAACTACGGTCCTTGACTGACACGCGTCTGAACTGCCTGTTACAGTTTTTAACCGATTCAAATGAAATTTTCACTGCATACTCTTTAATAGATTCTGCTGTGAAATATATAGGATTTTGCAAAATATTGGAAACTCTTTTTGCAGGTCACATTTTTATACGTAATTTTGATGGGAAATGGTTTTGTAAACATTATTTATCTGTAATAAATAGTCAAAGTTACGAATGATTTTGGGGCCTAAGAGTTGGCTGCATCTCTTAAGTACTTCAATTCTTGTTACTCGAGGAGTAACAATAAACGCACAGTTCACGCATAGCGAGAATCAGGTTTGGAGAATCGCCAGACAGATGACCAGGAACCGTTTCAGAAACTCCGAAAATCCGGTTCTAGTACCGGTTATAAGATTGGCATTTAAAGACAGAACCGGTTCTTCCAAAAGAACTGACAGTAGGTTCTTAGAGTGGTTCCCTTATGGAAGTGGTTCTTCAATGTAGAAACCGGTTAGGAACCGGTTCCAAATGAACCGAGTCGGTTCTTTTTCCATCCTTGGTTACAACTAACAGTTTCAAGTGGTTACAACAAGGTTAATTAAATGAAAATATCACGTACATAATTTTGTTAAAATGCATCTGTATTTACTACATATTATACAGTATTCAACTCAATTGTATTCTGCACTAACTACATACATTATCGTCCATTAAGTAACTCCTCAACCTGAAATAACTTGAGCTATATTTTGAATATCCTTGCCTACGACATACAACACACTCTTAATAACTTCTGCGATTGTGATTAGACCTCTTGAAGAATAATGTCGGTCACAATAAACAGTGGGGAATTTAGTACTACTGTATGATATATGTTCGAAATTGTAAAGCACAAGGCAGTTAATGCACCTACAAGGTTCAAACTGTGTATCGCCTTTTCGGTAGCGCTTTGAACGGCAGAGCGCAGATCCTTTCTTCCTGGGGCAATAACTTTTGTCGTCCAATTCCTAGCGTAATCAACATTCTCTCTTAAGCCAGGTAGAAGTGGAAACTTGAGTGTGTCCTGTGGGCTTGGTATCAAGGGTACGGATTTGGTGATTTTTGAAAAGTCGTCATCGGATAAAGTAGTCGCCAGATTTTATAATTGACTGAAGTTGAGCAGTTCGCTGAAGTCGTGTTATCCAAGAATGTTCGACACATCATCTTCAACACCCCTCCGGTTCCTCGGACTTGCGGTTTGCTTGGTGGAAGAACTTTCACTGGATGATTGGTTCTCAGGAGTCGTCGTAGTAGTTTTTGTCGTCGAAGCATCTGTACCCGAAAAAATGGAATCAACGGTAGTAGTATAAACAGAAGTTGATGAAGCGGTGCTGAATGCAACAGAAATTAAATTAGCAGTGATCATAGAACAGAAGATTATCAAGCGGTACGTGGTCCAGCCGACAGAGTACATTCTCCAATCGAAGCAGCGGTACTTGGTTTAGCCGAAGGAGAGGTACTCGGATTAGACGAAGTAGGGGTATTTGGTATAGACGAAGACGCGGTATTCGATCTAGGTAAAGAGGTAGTACTTGGGCTATTCGAGGAAGTACTCGGTATAATTGAGGAAGAAGTGTTTGGTCCAGCCGAAGTAGAAGCACTTGGTCGAATTGAAGAAGAACTTGGTCTACCCGAAGAAGTAGCACTTGATGTAGGCAAAGAGGCAGTACTTGGTCTATTGGAAGATGTACTTGGTCTACTCGAAGAGGAAGTATCTGGTGTAGGCGAAGTGGCGGCACTTGGTGTAGTTGAGGAATCAGTGCTTGCTCTAGGTGAAGAAGCTGTTGGTCCAGCCGACGTAGAAGCACTTGGTCGAGTTGATGAAGTACTTGGTCTAGGCGAAGAGGCAGTACTTGGTCTAGACGAAGAGGCAGTGCTTGGTCTATTCGAAGAAGTACTTGGTCTAGGTGAAGTGGCGGTACTTGGTCTAGTTGGAGAAGAAGAATTTGGTCTTGTTTGAGAAGTATTTGGTCCAGCCGATGTAGAAACACTTGGTCGAGGTGATGAAGTACTTGGTCTACCCGAAGGATTGGCACTTGGTCTAGGTGAAGAGGCAGCAACTGGTCCGCCGAGCGGGCGGTCACACAGGAGGAGCTCGCGGCGGCCGTCAAGCGCCTCGGGGCCAATAGGGCTCCGGGGCCTGACGGCATCCCCGGGCGGGCGCTGGGATTGGCCTCGCGCGTCCTCGGGCCTCGACTGATGCGGCTGTTTGACGGCTGCATGATGTCGGGGCGGGTCCCGCTGCCCTGGAAGCGGGGCCGTATGGTCCTCGTCCCGAAGAAAGGGAAGCTCGCGGACTCTCCTTCCGCGTACCGGCCGATATGCCTCCTCGACGAGGGGGGCAAGCTCTTCGAGCGCGTGCTCGCTGCCCGCCTGTCGAGGGGCATGTCCGACGGGGGTCCCGGTTTGGCGGACTGCCAATACGGATTCCGCGGGGGAAGTTCTGCGCTAGACGCGATGGACCACGTGCGTTCCCTCGCGGACCGGGCAGTTTCCCGCGGTCGTGTGGCGTTGGCGATCAGTTTAGATATCGCCAACGCCTTTAACACCATCCGCTGGGACACGATCCGGGAGGCGCTCCGAGAACACGGGGAGCCTCCGTATCTCCGGATCGTGCTGCGGGACTACCTGACGGACAGGGTGATCGAGTACCCCGGCCGGGGTGGCGCAATCGTGCGGCGGAGAGTCAACCGAGGCGTGCCCCAGGGGTCCGTTCTTGGACCCCTACTGCGAACGTGGGGTACGACTCGGTGTTGTGCGGGCTCCTCCCGCCCGGTGTGCGTGTGGTCTGCTATGCGGACGACACGCTGATCATCGCGGTCGGCAGAGAGTGGACGAGGACCATCCGCATTGCGGAGGTGGCGGTGGCACTCATCGTCGCCAGGATCCGGGACCTGGGGTTGCAGATCTCGCCGCCAAAGACGGAGGTAGTCATGTTTCATGAACTGCCTCTGTCGCGGCGGGTCGCCCAGGCCTGGGTCCGAGTAGGAGACGCCTGTGTTGAGGGACGTATGAAGTACCTCGGCCTCGACCTGGACAGCCGCTGGCGCTTCGAAGGACACTTCGATCGTCTGGTCCCCCGGATTGAGGGCGTGGCGACCCTGTTGGGTCGTCTGATGCCCAATCTCGGGGGGCCGGAGGAGAGGGTCCGCCGCCTCTACATGGGGGTGGTGCGAGCGATGGCCCTATACGGGTCACCCGTGTGGGCCCGCGACCTGATGGCCCGCCGGCGGGGCCGGCAGCTACTACGGCGCATTCAGCGCCGCATGGCCATCAGGATCGCGAGGGGGTACAGCACCATCTCCCACGAGGCGGCGGCTGTCCTGGCGGGGGTCGTGCGCTTTGATTTCCAGGCGGAGGCTGACGCCGATCTGTATCGGTGTCTGCAGGGCCTCCGCCGGAACGGGGTCGACCCGCCGGATGACGCGGTCGAGGTGATGATGCGCCAGGGCCGGTGGCTCGCTCGCGAAAAGTGGCGGAGCCAGCTGTATGACAGCGGCGCCGCCCGGCAGCGAGCCGTGGGCGCGGTCCTGCCCGTCCTTCATGGATGGCTGGACCGTCGGCACGGCAGGCTATCCTACCGGCTCACGCAGGTGCTCACCGGGCACGGATGCTTC